GTATTTTCTCACAGTTCTGGAAACTAGAAGTCCCAGATCAAGATTCCAGCCTACTCCATATCTGGTAAGCAGATGGCCAACTTCTCACTGTGTCCTCACATCGCCTTTCCTCAGTGAGTGTGTACACACAGAGAAAGAAAGTGAACTCTCTGGTGTCCTATCTCATAAGTACACTAATCATATCGAATCAGAGATCCACCCTATGATCTCCTGTACCTTAATAATTTCTTATAGGCCCCATCTCCAAATACAGCCACACTGAGGATCAGAGCTTCAACATATAACCTTTGGAGGGGATACAAACATTCCTGTTTTAAAAAATGTATTCTTTGGTGAGGACACTTAAGGCTTACTCTTTTTAAAATTTATTTTTTAAATTATTTTTTTAAATGTTTGTTTATTTATTTTGAGAGAGGGTGTGAGAGCAAGCATGAACAGGAGAGGGGCAGAGAGAGGGAGGGAGAGAATCCCAAGCAGGCTCCACACTGTCAGTGCAGAGCCCGATGTGGGGCTTGATCTCACGTATTATGAAATCATGACCTGAGCTGAAATTAAGAGCCAGAGGCCTAACCAACTGAGCCACCCAGGCGCCTCAGGATTTACTCTTATAGCAAATTTCAAGTATACAATATTACATTATTAAATATAATCACCATGTATAATCCCCAGAACGTATTCATCTCATAACATAACAAAGTCTGTATCCTTTGACCAATTTAGCCAACATCTTCCCATTTCCCCCACCCCTAGTTCCTGGTAACCACCATTCTATTCTCTGTTTCTATGAGTTTGACTTTTTAAAAATTATTCCATATATCAGTAATACTATACAGTATTTGTCTTTTTTGTCTGTTTATTTTACTTAACAGAATGCCATCCAGTCTCATCGCTGTTGTCACAAATGGCAGGATTTCCTTCTTTTTATTCCATTGTGTACATATGCCACATTCTCTTTATTCATTCATCAATGGACACTTAGGTATTTTTCCAGATCTCTACTAGTGTAAAAAAGGGAACTATATGAGGTAATGGATGGTGTCAATTCACTTGATTGTGGTAATCACTTCACAATGTACATGTATATCAAACTATCACACTGTATACTTAAAATATATACAATTTTATCTATCAATTACCCTCAATTAAAAAATATGTATACTGTTCCTGACATTGAGGAACAATATTCTGAAGACTTGTAGAAGTTCACCCAGAGGAATGCCTTGCCATACTCATAGCCTATCCATTCTTCTAAACGTTGGCTCTTGACCCCACCTGCAAATAACCAGGGGAAATTTTTTAGATAGAGCTTTCCAGTCCCATTCCCGGAGATTCTTATTTTGTTGGCCTGAAGAAGGGGCCCAAATAGTGTTTTTTCAGGGCTTCCCTGGTGATCCAAATGTGCACTAGTGTTGAGAACCACCTGGAGTAGATGCATTGACCCACTGCCCACCGCACACCCACACCCAGGCCATCTGCTCTGGGGCCCACACTCCTTGCTACACTACACTGTGATCTCTTAGAATCGGGACTAGTTGTTCTTCTCCTAATTATTAGTTCACATCTTATCTTAAAGACACTGTATATTTTTCTATTTATGAAACAATGCTAGCCAGCTCAGAACCATATTAGGGCCTGCCATCTGCCACTGCATAGACTACATGGGATGCATCTATGCAACCCAGTATCAGTTCCAGGCTCTGTGTCAGTGATGCCCTTTCCCTTCACTTTTCCCTTTTCTTTTCCACTTATTCTATCTAACCTATACTATCTTGATATGCTTTATTTATCCTTATAAACTGTTCCTAGTTATTTCTGGGAAGAAGGAGGGATATGTATTTATAACGAATGAACAGAGGAACAAACATATCAAAAAATGCACATGAGCACCCATACATAGAAATAACCAGAAGAGAGTTTTTGCAAGCCTTTCTGTTTCTTGAAGAGTGTTCAAGGAAAGCAAGATTAAATGAGTGGAAAAGATGGAATTAGAAGTGAGGTGAAAAGCCAGTGTCTAGGCATAAGGCAGGCATAGTTGAACAGTCCAAGACTGCCTACAGAGGACTAAACTCCATAACAGTCTAAGGATAGAAGGGACACACAGGCCTTTCAAGTGAGGACAATCTGGGTGGTCATAACCCAAATTCATGAAAAAGGATGAATGTTCTCAACACGATATATGAATGCGAACAAATCGGTATCTTCTTAGTGCAACCCCAACTCTAAGTGAAAAAGAAGGGAAATTATTATGGGCTGAGAGGGAGCTAAGCTTGGAGAACTTCCCAAAGTTGATTCTGGGGTTTGGTTTTGACAAGGAAAGCCATGTGCTATAGGAGAAAACACGAGGTTCTAGACATCACAACTCTACACTGATAGTACGTGAAATGCATTAAGAAGGACAGTCGGGGGAGCCATCTGACAAGGGACTGACAGAGGAAAGGATGAGTCTCGCAAAGATTAGGGACATTTTAGTGAGAGTTTATAAGGGGAATGCTATCAAGAAGATTCATTCTTCATTTAACAAATATTTTTTGAGTACCTGGTATGTGACAGGCACTGTTTTAGGTTCTTAGGGTACATCAGTAAATAAAACAGGTACACACTTTGCCCTCGAGAACCTTATAATCTAGGCAGTAGACATTAATTAAATAATGACCCAAATCACAACATAATTGCAAGCTGTGGTGACTGCTTTGAGGAGGCAGTAGAGGGCGCTGTGGGAGGCTGAGGGCGAGGTTGGCTCGGAGGAATCTGGTTTGAAGATTCAGAAGGCAGTGGACAGATTGGAGAAACATTTAGGAGAATCAATTAATAGGATATGGTGATTGATTGGAAGGAGAAAGAATCATCAAAGAGGTTTCCCAGGTCTCTTGCTTGTTCAGCTGATACCATTTTCTGAGATAGGAAATACTAGTGGGGAAAACCGACATACATAGACTTAGGTGGGTGGGCATACACACACTCCCAATCAGGGGTTGAGAGGAGGATTAACTGCAATTAGTTCTTTCTTCTCTGTCTTTCTTAACCTCCCCTTCTCCCAGTAAAAAGGAAAATAAAGGAGATTTCCCAGGAGCAGACAGGTAAAAGTTCAACCTGAAGGCTTATGGAGAACATTATAAAGTATTCCACTTGGTCTAAAAAAATTATGAAACAAAGTGAAAACTTGACTAGTGACTGCAGTGTTCTTCTACATTACTTTTAGCTCCGATCTTTATATTTGATGATCAGTTATGGGGGTACTTTAAGAATCTCACTCCAAGCACACCTAACTGCCAGAAGAAGTTCCCAAATGGATGCACCTCACAGGATGTTGTTTATTGTCACTGATTAAAAGAGAAAATCCTTGGGGCACCTGGCTACCTCAGCTGGTAGAGCGAGTGACTCTTGATCTTGGGGTTGTGAGTTCAAGCCCCATGTTGGGTGTGGAGATTACTTAAAAATAAAATCTTAAAAAAATTTTTTTAACATTTATTTATTTTTGAGAGAGAGAGAGAGAGAGAGAGTGCTAGTGGGAGAGGGCCATAAAGAGGATCTGAAGCAGGGTCCATGCTGTGAGCACAGAGCCTGATGTGGGGCTCGAACTCCTGAACCGTAAGATCATGACCCAAGCTGAAATCAAGAGTTGGCTGCTTCACCAACTGAGCCACTCAGGCACCCCACTTAAAAGTAAAATCTTAAAAATAAATACAGAAAAAATACAAAAAAAATAAAAGAGAAAAACTTTTTCTGAGCAGGAGCAGACCCCTTTAGATTCAACCAGGCTAGACCATGTTGACCACCAATAGAGAAGCCCACCCTGTGCCTCCACTCTGTCACTCATGAGGCAATAGTTTCAGGATGCAAATAATCTTTATTATGGAATTAAACTTTACTTGAACCACAAGCATATAAGTATCTGTACACGACATACACTGTAGAAGCATGTCAGCCATCCTCCATCCACGCTTCCCAATGTCTAAGTGTGTAGGCTTTAAAAACTTCCCAGGTGGTAGCACCTCATACAAAGCATTGCCACACAAAATGACAACTTTAACATCTTTTTTTTTTTAATGTTTATTTACTCATTTTTTGAGAGTGACCGAGGGGCAGAGGGAAAGGAGGAGAGAGAATCCCATGCAGGCTCCACACTGTCAGTGCAAAGCCCTACTTGGGGCTTTAACCCACCAACCATGGGATCACGACCTGAGCCAAAACCGAGAGTCAGATGCTTAACCGATTGAGTCACCCAGGCGCCCCTAACATCTTGAACTCAAGCCTAAACTCAGTTGTTACTAATTCCTCAGCCTATTCAATCAAGTTAATATTGAAATGAGATTTAAAAATATAGCCTCCTTGAAACACATTTTCTCAAAAGAAAAGAAAATTACTAGAAGGCAATTTAGTCATTTGTGAGTTCTAAAAAAAAAAAATGAGGATCATTCTCTGCATTACCTGGGGTTTTCATCTTCATATAAATGTGTGGTCTAGAGTCATTCTATTCCATGATAAAATCGCAAACATGGGCAAACATAAGCCTCTAATCCTATTCTGTGGTGTACTGAAATCATGCAGGTGGGGCAGGGGGTTGGGTGGGGGGCAGAAAAGAAGTGTGATCACATTTCCTGAAGGGTAGCTTTCGCTATAGACCTACATTACACTGACATTTTTTTTTTCCTGTAAATATTCTAAATGTGCATGATCAATTTCTGTCACTTGTCCAACACCTAGTAAGTGCCTGACAATGTTCCAACATTTCTGGATTGGTTTCAGAAACAGAGTGACTGGTAACCGTATCTACAAGTGGCTAATCTATTTTGATGTGAGCTTAATTAATGCTGCATATGAAACTCCAAATGTTACAATCCAGGAGTTTTAAATTTTTAATTATTAGACTAACTCAGTTAACTTATTCCAAGATGAAATTTGAATTCGATTTAATGTGAGTATTAAATTCTTTTACAATAAATTCAATTTTCAACAGAAAGGGGTTTTATAAAACCACTCTATTACAATTTTAGCACATGATGAGACCTATATATAAATGTCACAAATAATATATGACTTTAACACTACAGTTTGAACTACCCAAACTTGCAGGGAAGGATCAGGCTGCATAGTTATAACATCTGGTCCTGAAATCTAAGCTGCTGTCTGATGAAGCTGGAGATTAGGGGCTGAGGCTGTTGCTGTTACTCTGCTAAAACACCATGGGGCAAGCTGATCTGGTCACATTTAAGTCTGTCAAGACATGTCACACACCACAGCAGTTGGAAGAGCAGGTAGCACTTCTACTGGACAAATGGGTTTATCTTTTGTATAGAAACATCAGACAAACACCCTCATCTCCCTAGCATATGTACTTTGTGTTATTTTCTCTGTTATGTAGATACAACCCACAGAACCTTCTAGCCTTCCATATAATTCATAGTTCTGTGGACTCCAGCAAACACCCCATCTAAATAAATTAACTGAGATAGTTTTAAGTACTCTCCTTTTTCCTTTGTAAGGTTCAGGAAAGGTTTGTGTTCAGGAGAAGAACACGGGGTAATCTTTTTCATTCTAGACACACAAAGCTCCAGCTTTCTATCCTATAGCCGGTTCTTAGAGAAGGATCTTCTTACAGGAGGGTAGAAATGGAGAGCTAGTCATTACTCCTGAGATGACATTTTACTCTGGGGTGCAATGTTTGAGTTTGCCTAGCCCTTGGTAAAGAGCAGAGTAAATACAGAAGAGGTATGAACACAGACCTCAGGAAACACCAATAAACGTGATTACTGATCCTTATGAAATTTGAGAAGGAAAATATGAAATAAAATGCCTAAACTTAAGAACCAGCTCCGTGAAGGAGCAAATTTATTAAAATTGAGTGGCTGAAGAATAGGAATGAAATCTTTAGACATGAAACCAGGGGAGAAGAACAAACACCTTAAAAAAAAATGAAACTCAGTTTTGAAAAATCACCATGCAGGTGGGGTCTGTGTTTTTTTCCACCAAGAAGAACGAGAGAGAAAAATTGGGTCCCCACAAATTCTTTATGGTCACTTTCACATGAAATCTTTGATTTCAAGGAATGTGGTTACACACATTGAAATCAATGTTACCTACTTTAAGTAGATAGCAAAGTAGTGATGTCTATCTTCACCTGCATCATCTTATTTTATTTTTAAAGTACGTTCTACACCTAATGTGGGGCTCAAACTCAATGACCCCAAGGTCAAGAGTCACATGCTCTCTGACTAAGCCAGCCAGGTGCCTCGTGTCTGCATCATTTTAAACCATTATACATTTCAGTGTACACGGGATTAGATGTGCCTACATTAACAAGCTTGGAAGGCATGGAGATAAAGTTGGGTGTGAATATAATACTTTTTTTACTTCTCCACTATTTCAAACTTCTTAATAAGATCTGGATTTGGGAAGGATAAATGGACCATAATGATAATAGATGCTCTTTGTTTGGTTTAGTTCTTGTTATATGCTAGGTATTTATGATATCATTTAGTCCTTATGGCTGTACCATGAGCTAGCTATTATTTTTATCCCCTTTTGACAGATGATGAATGAGGGCTTAAGGAGGTCAAATAAATGGCCCAGAATGACACAGTTAGTAAATAGCCAGTCAATTCCCAGCCTCCTAAAGTGCTGAGAAGAGTTCTCTGCCTTTCCATCCACTGCTCCCCTGGGAAGGCACATGATGAACCATTACACAGACCTGCCCCGACCTACTGGTCAAACTGACCTTCCTGTTCAGTGAAGTGAGAAGCAATGAAAATATTCAACTTGAGCTGAGTCAAATATTTTATCACCTAGGACCTACCCTACTTATTCAAAACTCACTCACTTGTAAAGCAACTTGGTTGAACAGGTAAATAAGCAAAGGGAAGGGCTAGAAACTTCCCCAGCTTTTCGAGTTAATGATCAACAAGTCTGTGAAGCCTGACATGGGCTGGCAGAAACAGGGAAAAGTTGAAAGTCCTTCTCTAATCCTTCACTTGGCAAAAGGATAAAAGGAAACTCATGCTCTGAACTTTTCACGGAGTGGGAGCTGACTTTACTAAACGTCTTTTCTGATACTTTCAAGGGGAATGCCAAAGATGGAAAAGAACAGGTCATAGCAATCCCAGTGGTGTTTTCTTGACCCTGGAGGACCCATTAACAAGCAGCATATAATAATCTTGTCACCTAAAATTACTATTTCCATGAGCCATTAAAAGGGACTAATTACCCAAAACAATTTGTCAAAATTAAGCCTGACAGCTTTGCTACCATAATCCTCAGATTGGGCTTGGAGGGGTGCTCCTGTGGAGAGATACTTAGTGACCTAGCTGTCACCAAAGAGGATGTCGGCTAACTGACCTTAGACTGCAATGTGATGGAGCACTGCGACATGAACACAGAGCTTGATGCACCCTTGGTTGTGCCAGGGACTCCCAGTGGTTTTTCACTCTTTGCAGTCATTTATGGTCCCTTTGAGCACTGATGAAAGTTGTAATTGGAAACTCTTTTCACAAAAATACACATATGCCTATACACACAAAATATTCATGTATAATTTCAGGAGGTTCAGGGTCCCTGAATTCCACTGTGAATCCTTGGGAATCTACAGACCCCCATTGGACACCCGATTTAGCCCCACCTCTCTGATTCAGAATGGACTTCCAGGAAAATCTTCATATAAACTGTAGGCAAAGACAGCAAGGTGAGGCACAGATTCCCCCATGCACCGCAGAACCCAAACAAGGCTGGGCCTTGGAAAATGACAAAGCAGCAAAGGTTAGCTTTGGAGTTTCCAATGTGGCCCTTATGACTTCTCCTCTTCCACTTATCCCGTCTTTTTCATGGCTCCCTTTACTCCTCAAGGTTTGAGTTTATTAAGCATTGTTATTTCATGTATGCCTGATAAATAAAGCATAGGAATCTCAGCAACCCAGAGCCTTTGCACTTCCTCTGTCTTCCCTGAAAAATCAATCTCAGGCTATTGGCTGCTAATCAAAACCAAGTTGAGAAAATATATATTCAAAGGGAAGATCAAAGCTAAGGAGCATAGGGATAATTTGTTCTTCTAGGTTGGTGTTTCTTCAGATGTGCCCCACTGGCCACCTGAATCACAACCAGAGCTTAATAATGCAGACTCTTAGGCTCTATCTTGGACCTATAGATTGAAGGATGAGGGTGAGAGAGGACAGTGATCTACATTAGGGAAAAAAAAAAAAACCTTTGTAGTAAATTATTTTCACATTAATATTTGAGAACAATTGCTTTTTAAACATTTTTAAATTTTTGAGAGAGAGAGATGAGCAGGGGAGGAACAGGCAGAAAGGGAGAGACAGAATCCCAAGCAGGCTCCACATTGTTGGCACAGAGCCCAATGTGGGGCCCGATCTCACAAGCTGTGAGATAATGACCTGAGCTAAAATCAAGAGTCGGACACTTAACCGACTGAGCCACCCAGGCACCCTTGAGAACAATTGCTTTAAAGACTTTAAACTCTATCCTGTATCAAATCATGTTACAACAACATAACTGAACCCTCGTGCTCTAGGTTCCCAAAGAAATGCTGATTCAGACAGAACCAAGATTTAATATGAACTCTATCAAGAATTGTCCTATATCTTTTATAAGTGTTATTGAAGACACTGTCCATTATAATATAGCTGACATTTTTTAATTAAGTATAATGTTTGGATGAAGTTTTTATGATAAACTTCAAATACTAATTCAGTGTTTCCATTTTCTTACCTCCAGGAAACTCAGAACCAAATCTGAGTATTCAGATTTAGTATTGCACTCCCAAATGGCCTCCTTCATATTGAAAACTCCCCATCCACTCTCTTAAATACATGCCTCTATTCACCTTACCTTTGCTTAAATTATAGTAAACATTCATCCTTTATTGAAAGCTGCTGCTAATGCCTATTCAAAAAAATAGAGAATACAAGTAACTGTCAGTAGATAAATATGTTACTCTTTTATACCTTATGAAATAGTGGAGGGAGTGGGGATCAGGGGATGGGAAATCTCAGTTCTAGTCCATCTGTCTTTCTCTGTCTAGCTGGCTTTCCTTAAGCAGGTTGCCTCCTTTCACTCTCTGAGAAAGGGGCAGGTTGGATCTCAGAGGTCTCTCCCAAGTCCACACCCTCAGCTTACGTGCTTCCCATCCTCTTGCTGGTGTAAGGACCATGCTGTCATCTCCAGGAGGTCTAGCTGCAGCCATGGGTTCTTGATTGTCTGCTGGGTGCTGGACTGCCAACCAGAGACATGTCAGGATGGGCAGAGGATAGAGCCTGATGTGCTGGGGGTGGGGGTGGGCTCCAGGGGGGGCACCCAGGAAGCCTCACTGGGGTCATAGGGAGGAGTGGGTCACAAACAATGCCAACCATACAAGGGATTCAGTCAGTGGTCCTAAATGGTCCTCTAATATGTGAGTGTGTTGGTATGAGGGGAGGGAGGAGTTGGATAGAGGGTAGAAGAGGAGAACTAGGATAAATCAAATAAAATGATAGAGGCTCACCTTGATTAAAAATATATAAAAACGGCACCTGAATGGCTCATTTGAGTGTCCAACTTCGGCTTTGGTCGTGATCTCGTGGTTCTTGAGTTTGAGCTCCACTTTCGGCTCTCTGCTGTCAGCGCATAGCCCGCTTCAGATCATCTGTCCTTCTCTGTCCCTGACCCTCCCCTGCTCATGCTCTGTTTCAAAAATGAATGAATGAATGAATGAATGAATGAATAAATAAATAAATAAATTAATTAATTAAAACACCAACAAAGTAAGAAGAAACCATTTTTTTAAGTCTTGTTTTTTTTTTTAATTTTTTTTTCAACGTTTATTTATTTTTGGGACAGAGAGAGACAGAGCATGAACGGGCGAGGGGCAGAGAGAGAGGGAGACACAGAATCGGAAACAGGCTCCAGGCTCTGAGCCATCAGCCCAGAGCCCGACGCGGGGCTCGAACTCACGGACCGCGAGATCGTGACCTGGCTGAAGTCGGATGCTTAACCGACTGCGCCACCCAGGCGCCCCTTAAGTCTTGTTTTTGTAAAAGTAATAAATGAATTACCTAACATTTATGTATGATTTCCCAGATAAACTGACTGATTTTCTTGGCAAAATAATGGCTAGGCAGAGTACTGAAAAATTGTCAAATTAATGCTTTATTTGTCTCTAGCACTCACCATCTTGGTATACGCTGAACCCTTAGGACTTGCTTGCTGAAGTAGCACAACTCTCTGCTCACAACTTTTAAAATAGAAACATCTGCATAGTTGTTGTTGTGAACAGACTCTATGAACTTTGTGTATTTATGGGAAGCTGCTGGGATGAAGCAGCCGAGCGTGCTACCAAGGGGCCTCCAATCAGAGCTCGGTTCAAGTCCCCGCTCAGCGGCTAATTCACTGGGAGAATTTGGGAAAGTTACTGAACGTCTCTGAGCCACAGTTTCCTTTTCTCCTGTGAGGGTGAAGAGAGCTGTAATTGGTTGCCTCATCCCCTTCTGCAATAATATTTCAAAACCCTGACTTGTCTCCATTTTAGAGTTAAGAAATGCTCCAGCTCTAGACTGAATATAATCTTTAATCCTTGTTGTAATATCTTTTTTGCTTTATCAGTGATCACTGCACAGTCCCCACAGTCCACCATCCTTCATTGCTGGGACCAGTGGAAGAATATAAAACTGAGTTAAAATCAAGATTCTACTCCCTTTCATTGAACTGTAATAAAGTAATATAAAGACTGACTATATCCCCAAAGTTGCCAGTATCTGTCAAACGAAATAACACTGGATTCTTCCTTTATCCTAAAGAAAAAAACCACTGTGAGTGCTGCAAACAGTTAAAGACAAAGAAGAGGATTTAAGCAGAACTTAATCTTAGATAAACGTTAGGTTTCACGTGTTGCCATGCAAGCGTGTGTCAAAAGGCAGCACTGTCTTTTAAAAATGGATACAAATTGAACGTACTTATCACAAGTTCACAGTGCAAAAGGATTATCATCTTTAATCAGAATGTTAGGGGTTTAATTAAAGTAGATTTTGCTTTAAGGGAGGGACAGATGTATGCATATTACAAAATCATGGGTGAATTCATTTATGCACTATATAGTGGATTTACGTTATTCTGAAGGTTTAGCCTTTCGATGGAGAATAATTCTGTGAGTGCCACTATTTCCCTTCACCCTAATCTTTGTTAACACAACGTTGGATTTCCACTGTTCTTTTTCGGGATAATGAGATCAAGATAACAACAGTGATTTATGGGTGTCAGTGGCCACATTTCAAGCAGGTTGTACGCCTATCAAACATCAAAGGATCCCGGGGCTAGAGATACAGCAGCGTTATTGTATGAACTTTACTGCAAAGGAAGGCTTAACTCTAAGGCTTTGCCTCCTCCTATGAGGACAGTTTGGAGGTGCCCTAAGGTCCTTTAGGCCATTCTCCCGAGTCATTAATGTAGCCAGGGAATGAAGGAACCAGATGGATTTGCCATCGCCATCTTTCATGGCAAATGAGAGTTAAAGGTCATTGCTTTCATTCATGTGTTTGTTCATTTAGCAAATACTTATTGAAGGCCCATAAGGCAGGTATTATTCTAAGTGCTGGGGATATAGCAAGAAAATTACAAACAAGGTCCCTGTTCTCATGGTGCTTATATTTCTAATGGAGAGAGATGCTAAGTACATACCTTCATGCATTAATATATGTAAAATAATATATAAGTTAATAGGTAAAGAAACCAGAAGAACAATGGGTGAGTGAGTTGAGTTGAGGTCATCCTACAGGCAAGGCTTCCCAGTGAAGTGAGAAGGGCCCTGAGCTGTTTGAGCCAGGTGAAATACATTTTCCCATGTCGTTTACCACTGATATATTCTCCCTCCCTTCCTCCATGTTAAAGCAGCTGCTTGTGAAGCCTCCCTCAGCCTTCCCCCCAAGCAAGTTTTTCTAGCTCAGTGTTTTTTCAGAGCTTCACTGCTGTGGCGAACTGATGTTAGGAAGCAGTGATGCAAGGTCGAACATGGTAGCATTGTACGCATGGAGTTTGGGTCTGTGTCCTGGTGGTTGATCTTCCAGGGGGGCCTGTACCAGGAATTCACCTTTGAAAACAGGGGTGTCTGAAGGAGGTGAGTCCTCGTCACCTCGAAGAATTTTAGACCGAGATACTCCCAAGAACTACAGTGTTAGAATCACAGCTGCAACCTTTAGCGTGAAGGTTGGCAGTCTGGAAGAGGTTGGCTCCCTGAAAGAGCTGCAGGAGTGGCTTGGGAGAGAGCTGCTAGCGGGCTGAAGTCAGCTACCAACAGCCCCCGCATCCAGCCTCGGGGAAAAGGCAAATGCTGCAGGGCATCAGGAACTACAGGAAATAAGGGAGGAAGGAGTCCAGAAGGGTGCCTGCAGGCGGCAGAGAGAGCAAGGTCACAAGGACTTGCAGCAAGGACAGAAAGATCCCTCATAACAGAATCATTTCTCTGAGGGCTTGGCAACGTCCTTAAAGAGAGAAAGACCAGGGTCCAGGGTTCACAAGCTGAGAACTCTCCCTGGTTGCCAATTGATGCCTCTTAGGAAAGAACTGATGGTCATCACCAAACTGACATCAGGGCAGCACGTTTGTCAGTAGGCATTTTTTTTTCCTTCTAAGTTAACTGGATACCAAATTCTCCATTTGCATACTATGTGGGGCCGTGGCTCAGGTGACCACTTGTTTCTATAATAAAGAAATGTGAGGAGGCATTTCTTGGAGCAGAAATGTCTAAATCTGGGTGTTTCTACAGGCTGTGTGCTGATGGGACTGTTGTTCAGGTCAAGGTCAAGCTGCCACCACCTGTGGCTCTCACTCTCACTAACTTGTGGGGAGAAAAGCAGATGCTGTTGTTTCTCTGAAAGGGGGTATTAATGATGACCTTCGAAAGAGGATAAGGATTCGTTTGCATTCTTCACCCATATACTACAAGGATCTGCATGGACATGAATTCTGAGAGATGGGAGTAGTTAAGCCTAGTGGTTCTACAATTAATCTCTTCTTATGAACTACGACTTCTTTCTAACATGTATTTTTGGAAATTTTACCATATATATTTTGTTTATAGTATTGGATATATACATATATTTTTAAAATTTTTTTGATGTTTATTTCTGAGAGAGAGAGAGAGAGAGCATGAGCCAGGGAGGGGCAGAGAGAGAGAGAGAGAGAGAGAGAGACAGAATCCGAAGCAGGCTCTAGGCTCTGAGCTGTCAGCACAGAGTCTGACAAGGGGCTCGAACCCACCAACTGCAAGATCATGACTTGAGCCGAAGCGGGACGCTCAACCGACTGAGCCACTGGGGCACCCCTGTAGTTTTATATATTAAAATTGACTGATTATAAGGACAACTGTTGCAATTAAAATTCCACTTGTGATTAAAAGACATATTAACATGCTATAATTCTTTACGTGTTCTTTGAAGTTTGCTTCTCTGAATTCCAGGACACTAGACTCTCCAGGTGTACTGCCAATTCCACTGGCCTGGCCAAATTTGAGATAATTTGAGTATCCAAGACAATAATGACAGAAACCATTTATAACACATTGATTTGAACAAGAGTCACAAAACAATAGTAACTACCCTCCACGACCAAAAAAGAGAGCGAGGGAGAAAGAATGTGATGAAGAAAAACTTTTCTTAAAGTAGAATTCCAGCTATTAAATGTAGAGGGAATGATGGAATTGAAAAATCACCATTTTGCAACCCATGCTAAAATCATTAGTAAAAGACAGTTGGGTTACTGGGTGTTCATGCCATGCCACATAGTCACCACAGAGATTGCTTGTTCCACACAAAGAGGGAACTTTCACTTCTCCATGGAAAGTGATGGAAGTTACCCCTTGGACCAAGTGCTCCAACTTGAAATGACTGATAGTGGGACATCTTCACATTACATCTCCCTGAGGTGGTACACTACAAAGCTTACATTACCATCAAGTGTTCTTGCCATAAGGCTGAATCTAGTGAGGCCACTAGACTTTACTTCCACCTACAGGAAATCTGCAGTAGAGATGAACAAGTGAGACTCCATGATGAAACACACAGACAAATCTAGAACATGGTATATTTAACAAGATAACAGCCTTGATGCGTTAAAAAATCCATTGTCATAGGAAAAAAAGAGAAAAGTAGGGGAAACTCTTCTAGAACAGAGATATAACAACCAAGTAATATAATGTATGAAATTACCTTGATAATGGGTAAGAAAAAATCTATAAAAGATATTTTAGGAAAATTAGGGAAATTTAAATATGGAATGGATACTGATATTATGAAGCTACTTTTACTTTCCTTAGGTTTTTGGGGTTTTTTTTTTTTGATAATGGTATTTTGGTCATTACAAGAATACTTTATTCTTAGGAAATGATGCTGAGGTATAAGAGTTAACTGGCATGATGTTTGCAATTCATTAACAAATGAACCAGGGAAAAAAGCAAATAGATGTGTGTATACCTATGTTTTCACACATGTATATGCATATATATGTGTATATATATATTTAGAAAGCATGCATAAATGTGGCAAAATATTAAAAACTGTTCAATCTTTGTAGAGTGTAGATAGGTATTATACTATTTTTTTCAATTTTTCTGAATTATTAAAAGTTTTCAAAATAAAAAAGTTGGGAAAAGCAAAAATGCATGTAAATTAATTTTATTTTATTTTTTTATTTTTTTTTTTCAACGTTTATTTATTTTTGGGACAGAGAGAGACAGAGCATGAACGGGCGAGGGGCAGAGAGAGAGGGAGACACAGAATCGGAAACAGGCTCCAGTCTCCGAGCCATCAGCCCAGAGCCTGACGCGGGGCTCGAACTCACGGACCGCAAGATCGTGACCTGGCTGAAGTCGGACGCTTAACCGACTGCGCCACCCAGGCGCCCCGCATGTAAATTAATTTTAAAAACCTACTCCACTGATGCTTTGTCCTTTGAACAGTTTTAGGAATATTTTATTTTTATCGTGTCTTGATAAATTAAATTGTAACAGCAAACAGCAGCCACTACCAGGATCAAGAAAGTGGAACATGGGGCGCCTGGGTGGCGCAGTCGGTTAAGCGTCCGACTTCAGCCAGGTCACGATCTCGCGGTCCGTGAGTTCGAGCCCCGCGTCAGGCTCTGGGCTGATGACTCAGAGCCTGGAGCCTGTTTCCGATTCTGTGTCTCCCTCTCTCTCTGCCCCTCCGCCGTTCATGCTCTGTCTCTCTCTGTCCCAAAAATAAATAAACGTTGAAAAAAAAAATTAAAAAAAAAAAGTGGAACTTGCTGTGAAGTCCTGACTACATAACCTTCATGACCTTGGGCAACCCCTTTTTAACCCCTGAGGCTTGGTTTCCTTATTTGCATAATGAGAACAATGTTCTGCCCTCTCATAAGACATTATGATCATATTATAAACAATTATAAGGCATGCGTTCAACCCCAAGTAATATATAGTTGGATTCCTTTTTCTTCTCCTGCAGAGTGAAAATAACTTCATGAAAAAGGAGAATTGGATCTGAGGCTTTCATGAATAGCTTACCTTTTAGATCACAATTTCTACGTGTAGCCAAGGACACTGCAGATTCCGTTTCAGTTTTCCTGATGCCGGCTTTATGTGCTCTCTTCAAGCAGTGAAACTTTTCTTCTCTGGAAAAGGACCACAGTGCTCCATCTAGTAGACCCTGGCCTGAAAGAGAATGGAGAACACTTAGTGGCTTGATGTCCTACCACGGTGGCAGTAGCATCATTAAAGGGCTTACTGTGGACCCAAGTGCTCTATGGCTGACTCTAACACTTGGGTCTGCACTCCTGGGAAAAATCCAGCCATCTGAACCATCCTGTCAAGGTATTTGGAGCAAGGCTGTGCCTGGCTCAAGAGTCTCTTGTGGAGAGGGGTCTCCATGGTGCTGAGTGACCTAGCTCTGGAACAAGTAACCATTGAGTGGCCGCAACAGCTAGCACTGTGCCCAGGGATAGCATGACCTGGAGGCTTGCTAGGAGATCTGCCTTTGAGAAAAATCTCAGGTTGCTTCTGTGACTGGGGAATGGCTCAGGGAGAGGTGCCGAAGGAGAAGCAGCAGCTCCAAGCCTCAGTGATGCTCCTGAAGCTACTTGAGGACCAGGATGGTGGTTTGGAGCTTGCAGTTCCCCATCTCCGTTAGGACAATGGAGCCACATACGGACAATGGACTTGTCCACCGTCTTCTCTGCCACGCGTGTCTCAAGTTGCATGCCACCCTTTTGTGATCACTTTTTCTCTTCTAGGCTGCTCTCAGTGTTCATTTAGTTTCACCTGTGTCAACTAGTGAAGCCAGAAGGAAGGCAGGGAGGGGAGCCTGAAGCTATTTTGTCTCCTCCACTGTGCATACACTGCTCCCAATTGAAGAGGGAGGATAGAAGCAGGGAGGCCAACACACTCTGTCACCATCCATTATTTTGCACAGTCCCCATTTTGGCTCCCTTTCTGCTCTTGTTCTCCCTTTCCTCTAGTTTACACACCACTTCCACCGTGGCTGTCTGCTCCTCCTTGCTCCCTCCTCCTCAGTGCTGCCTGCCAACACCTCTAATACTGTGTTATTTAAGCCAATTCAAACTCAGATGTCCCAGAAGCTGAGCAGGTAACATCAGTGAGGTCTGCCTGGTCTAAAGGGAGAAGCCTTGCCTCACTTTCAGTAAATGCAGCCCAATGTGGGCTGGGGCTTGCTAGGGCTGCCATGAATATATCATTTCATATTTTTTATGTGATGTTATCTCAGGAAGCCAAAAATCTGGACTTTCATGTGAAACCTCCAGAAATTTTCAAAGTTGGCAAAATAATTCACATTTAAAAAAATACTGTGTGGGCCAAATAAAACATCGACTCCAACAGGCTGCTGTTTGCAAGCTCTGACTTAAACCTAGTGATGACCCTCCCGGTGAAGGGGCCAGTGACCTATCACAGAGTCTCAACCCTATTAGACCCAACATTCCTCCTACTTTATAACACACAGGTACTGACACTACTTTTACTAACCTCAGGTAATGTTTGTACATAATATAACCTGTCTCCATACATAATTTTAAACAATTATTTTAATGTTTAGTTTTTGAGAGACAGCAAGTGGGAGAGGGCAGAAAGAGAGACGGAGACACAGAATCCAAAGCAGGCTCCAGGGTTTTAGTTGTCTGCACAGAGATCGACACGGGGCTCAAACTCACAAACCATGAGATCATGACCTGAGCCAAAGTCAGATGTTTAACCGACTGAGCCGCCCAGGTGCCCCTCCATACATAATTTTCTTTTAAAGTTTACTTATTTTGAGGGAGAGAGAGAGAGAGAGAGAGAGCATGAATTGAGGGAAGAACAAAGAGAGGGAGAGAGGGAATCCCAAGCAGGTTCCATGCTGTCAGCACAGAGCCCCAAGCAGGGCTCGAACCCACAAACTGTGAGATCATGACCTGAGCTGAAATCAAGACTCAGATGCTTAACCAAATGAGCCATGCAGGAGCCCCCATATTTTTTTAAAATTCAGTATAATACCCTAAGTTTGATCCAAGGGACAAGAAAAGAAACATAATTTAAAATGAATTAATACATAGTTTGATGAATTTACACAAATACAACTACACCTTAAGATTTCTAGAAGGCCCTTCAAGAAATGGTAACAATCCTGGTTAGATTCTTTCTTCTGGGATGAGCAGAGTCTGCCCTTGAGACTGTTTTCTCCCAGCCCCTCATCCCTTGGAGCTCTTGGATTGCCAAGAGCTACTACTTGGCAATCACCTTCAATTTGTGTCAAAGTTGATTTGGGCACCCTTCATGGTTGAGAGATAAAAGAACCACTCTGAAAGCACCCATCCCTTTAGGATTCCCTCCCCCAAATATTTCTCCCTGTTTCCTGGTCCCCACTCTTCCCTGGGTACCAGATCTGTTCTGATATATAGGTGAATATACCTCAAAATGGCAGAAACATAGAATCAGCATAATCCCTTTTTCCCAGAGTTACCAGTGTAAATTAAAGGCATAAACAGAGGTATGATTTTGCTAACATCACTAATTGCATTTTAGTATTTGATTTGTTCTTGGAGGATTAAACCCACTCTCAATATAAATTCATTATGGATGTTTCTCTGCTGCTTATTATGTCCTTGTGCTCCCATGCTCTAGTAAGTTAAAAAGACTGTTTCTGTTCCTTTTTTAATCCCCAACTATTTAATTTTCTAAAGCAGAGTTTTTAATATAAATTATGGCTTTGAATAACAAAGAGTTCCTGACAAATTTCTGTTGCTTTCCCAGTTTATAACTTCTTCTGTCTTCATACAAATCTCCTAGGTACACACTGCATGTCTGATGAAGATTGGGAAGTGGGAAGTCCCTTTACCATAGTTGAGGAGCTCCTCAGCCAGGTCTTTGTCAAGCTCAGCACTTCAGGTGGTGATATGGTCCGAGATTACCTATTAAAACCAGGGCTTAAGGAAGGAGTCTGTGGCCCCAGCTGCTATTACAACAGACCTTGGTGCAGTATTGCAATGTGAGATTAAAAGAGTGGTTACAGAAGAATGTCACTGAGAGTTTACTTTTGACGTGTAGTATGTAATCTATTCTGCCAACACTAATTAATGCTGGTTGCTAATGATTCTCCCTATTTTCATCTTTTACATTATTTTCTTTTACAAATGCAATTAAATAATATTCAGAACAAGCATTTACATTTGCTGTCTTTCCAGATTCACATTTACAGTGTGATCAGGTTTAGATTTCAAGACAAACATGACTCTTGGACATGCAAATTAGTACCGGCCTTCAGGCTCAAATTTGAGTAAATTAGGTCAGGAATAAACTAAATGAGCCTGCCAGCAAGTAGCTTTCATGAAGTGATGTGACTACTTGATATTTAATCTTCTCTGCAGCTCCTTGATTACTATAATTTCTTTGCATCTCTGTCCTCTCTTCCTTCTGATTCTTGTCACATCCACTCCCTCCCCACCCCCCCACCCCCGCCATGTAAATTAGGCTTCCTGGCTGACCTTCCGTTGCTGCAAACTCTGCCTTGCTCATGGGACTCAGAAACTCAAGTCTCAGGGACTCAAGAAACCATTTTCTGCCAACTCATTCTTGACCCACACTCTTTGACCAGATTACCTGCAACTCATTCTCCAGGTGTGAATCCATGGAGGGGGAAACGTCTGAAAAAACATCTGAATCCATGGAGGGGGAAAGAATAAAAGGCAACACAGATAGGTTACATTAAATTTCTTCAGCCCAGCTTTTGATCTACTTTTGGATCCATTCTGATTTCTATTTAGAGCCTGGATAAGGGGATATGTATTGATAGTACCCTTGATTCTGTGTCTTAACATTTATTACATTTAGTATTTACTCCTTGCATGTCTATTGCCCGGATAACACACGAACTCTATAAAGGCAGGAGCAATGTCTGTTCACTGTTGTCCCTGTAAGCCTAGCATTCTGCCTATTACATTAAAGGTACTGATAAAAATGTGTTGAATGAGTGAATGCTTTCACAGAGATGCCATAAAGCAGAGATCTGCAAACTACAATCCATGGCCCAAATTCAACCTGTCTTTATAAATAAAGTTTTATTGTAACACAGCCACATTCATCCATTTATATATTATCTACAGTTGCTTACACACTACAATGACAGAGTTGAGAAGTTGCAACAGAAATCATATGTTCTGCAAAGCCTAAAATATTTATTATCTGGCTCTTTACAGAAGAAGTTTACTGATCCCTTCCACAGGGTATAGTCATATCATTCTGGGGTTTTATAAATTCTAATACTAATCAACATGCGGTTAATTTAGAAGGTTCAGGTAGAGACCCAAGGTGGGCTCTGATGAAAAAGCCTTGGTGGGTCAGATACTTTTAAAATAAGTCAAACAAGTGGCTCCTTGAATTATTCACAATGTCCTAAGAGTAGGAAAGAGATTGAGAACAAAGTTGAAAATGTGGGTGTCAAAACTGATACTATTCACAGGTCATCCTGATATTTAGAGATTTTAGAACATTTATATCCGGGTTAAAGTCTCTTAAAGGTCAAAGTATTATTTAATCAGGTATTTTATCCTCATGAAAGTTTCCTGGCTTGCCTAAGGAGTGGGAACAGCAGCAGAGGAATTAGCTTTACTTCCTTCATCTCTGAATTCAATGCTGCTTAAAACAAAACAAACATTCACATCCTAGCAATAAGCTAAGAGTTCTTAATGAGGATAAAACTTCAACATGAAGGTATCTACAACAGCCCAGTGGTTTTATTTCCCACCATTTGTAGACCTCCGCTGTGATACGGGTATAGCCTGTGGGCTGGATGTATCTTGTTGCCATAAAGCAAAAGACCTAGAATTCATGACCATGAGTTGGATAGGCAGCAGAGTGCCTTGTGCATACTGGACACTTGTTCATATCCAGTGGCAGCCACAGCAGCAAGGATGGTACATTGCACTGGCATGGGCTATGCAGACAGATCCTTATATCCCACACCCCCAAATTATAAGCAATCTTAATAACAGTACTATCCATTTCATTACCGAATGCACTGTTATCTACTACTTATTTGGGGGTAACAATGGATAAACAACAATCTAGAAGGATACCTCATTTAACAATGATTGCTAATATTCTCCTTCTGTTTCTAGATGGGCATCCACGGATGTTTTTCTTTATAGCACCTGTGAGGGCCATGGCTGGACCTTACCCTGTACACAGCTATGGAGAGGGCATAATCTTTTTGAACATGTCTATTTCTAGTGAAGCATGGCTCAGTCACTTGTGGCTCTGTGATACTGGACAAGTCACTCCTCTAGTTCTTTGTCTGAAGCTTTATAAGGTTGAAATTTATCCCAAAACTGTGTCATTCTGTGAGCAAAATCACAACCCTTTTTATAATCTCCGTGCAGTCCTGCCATTCTGTCAACCAAACCTTTTCAGTTACAATGCCCTGTCTATATCTGCATTTGGGTACATAGTAAAATCACCTCCTTACAAGGTCTGCTCCTGGAGAAAAGATTTAAAAAGAAGGAGGTTTCCTCACTGCAGAAGCACATGCATGGCCCCTGACCAGCCAGCCACCTGACCAGTGGAGGAGGAAGGGCGGAGGGGAGGCTCTGGGAAAACAGTAGGAAGCATCACCTGGCCCTTCTCTAAAAGCCCAGCCTTCTGGTGTGTTGATGAGGAAAAGATCCAGCCAAGAAAAGGGGTGTAGTCACTGATAGGAGCTAAAACAAAGTGTTCCCCTGGAGGTATGAAGTCTGCTTACTTAGCTGACAAACAAGGCAAACCTTAGTGATTAATTTTTCCTTGAAAGCACATATTTCTGTCACTTATAAAATTCCTCAGCCTCAAAACTTATACTTATCCTCATCCATATTCCCTAGCAATTCTTCCAGTCTTCCCCTTAAGAATACCTAAGTCCATCTGGGCAATAGGCAGTGTGATCTCTCATGCCAGGTTTCCATGGAGAAAAAAAAAAAGGAAGATAAAAAAGAAATACTTCTTTAGATTTCTTTAATTTTCTTTAAATTTAAATTTTTATAAATTTCCTCAAGGCCAGCCTCCTGACACCTTCTAGCCCACCTGGGTCTCTGCTGGTCTGTAAGTATGTTGCTGTATTTTGGCAGCCACCCTGTATGGAACAGTCACTTGGATTTCATAGTAGAAACCAACCCATCTCACCTATTCTCCCTGATGTACCAGTTCTGATAACAGCAACATCACAGCACCGGGCATGGTGCAGTAATTTGATGAGTTCATGAAGCATACGCATAATAAAAATGGAGGGAATGCCAATGCCATGCTGTTGAGAGAAAAGAGAAAGTCATTATACATCTTGCAAACTGGTACATGCACAGGACATATTTTCTTACTTCATTACAAGTTAACAGCCCTCAGATAAATTTACATAATCATTATGACTTTGCCAAAGCTGAGGAAAACGTAAGTCAGCTCTAACTGATGCCTACCTGACATGCTGATAGATGTGTCCATCTGTGAGGATCAGACAGAGACATCTCCCTGCCAGTTACACAGAGTTCAGCCCTCATTGTCAAGAGCAGAAGGTGGGGATAGCATGGTGTACTCGTGTGTCAGAGCATGGCCGTTTCTCATCTCCCTACTGGGTTCTTTATAGTGAGCTTTTGAAAAAGAGCTTTTTGCAAGATTGACTTGATTCTCAGGAAATATAAATTTGGCTGCCATGTTATTAGTCCTCTTCTACTGTACTAAGTGAAATAGTAAATCCATTTCATTGCTCTCATGTGGCCTTGTTCATTTGCTGCTAATTCTGTGTGAGCTCTGAAAGGTATGAGGGTAGAGGTGTGGTCTGCATCCATACCTGACAATTCGGAGCATAGGCAAGGCTACATTGCTATACATCATGACCACAACACCTATTTCCATCATAACCCTTATTTTCCTTAGCATTTGCTACAACAAAATCCACATCACCAGAATAGGGGGTCAACATAGGTTAGAGGATTTAGAGACTCCTGGTGGTTACAATATGTTCTAATAACTCTCCAGAAAGATTGTCTGTATTGAAATTTGTAGTAGCTGGAGCTGAGTTTTGAATTGGTGGTGATTTCATTTCTAACATAAACATTAGGGAGTCAAATGTGTTCTTCAATGTATTCACCTCTTGAGCACAAAGACTTTGTATGTGGAACAGCACCAGGGGTATCTTGGCAATTAGGTGATGCCTGCCACTAATTGCAACCGTGACCATGATGTTCTCACCTGAGTTCCCTCACCGTCACCATCAAGGATATTAAACTAATGGGGCACCTGGGTGGCTCAGTTGGTTAAGTGTCTGTCTCTTGATTTTGGCTCAGGTCATGGTCTCTTAGTTTGTGCGATCGAGCCCTGCATTGGGCTCTGCGCTGACAGCTTGGATCCTGCTTGGGATTGTCTCTTGCTCTCTCTCTGTCCCTTCCCCTGCCACCTCTCAAAATACATAAATAAACTTAAAAAAAGAAAAAAAGAATATTAAGCTGTGGAACGTTTGAATCTCTGGGTTCACCATTTTTTGGTTCCCAATGAACATGTCCTGACTTCCAAATGCATTGTAAGCCTCCTAGAGACATGAATCAAATCTGTATTAATTTGTATGTCCAAGATTAACAAGTCTGGGCTTTGGCACTGTCTCTGCCACTAATGAGTAGACTCTCTAAATCTCATTTTCCTCAACTATAAATTAAGAGAATGAACTATTATTTCATCTATTAGGTTCCTTCTAAATCAGATATTTGATAGGTTTATGATTATCACTTATTATGCAACATGGTAATAAAATGACAAATGGGCTTATGTGTTCCTGAAAAAGTCTCTCTCTCCCCCACTCTCTTACACACACACACACACAGACACACACACACACACACACACACCCTCAGCAGCTGCTGGGGAGAAGGACTTTTTAAAGAAGGTGTCCCAACTGGAAATCCTCTGTCTGCCTTAGTAAAGGCCACTTTGAATTGGCAGACTCCTGAACATGACACACATTTCGGGTCTTTTTCTCAGACAGGACAGCAGGATCAGTCTAGTGCAGTTTTTCTTGCTCTGAAGTTTTACTGCTTGTTTATGATAGTTTCACATTTATATAAACAATTACTTTTTTGTCCTTACTCATTTACCATGCAAAAAAGGAAAAACAGGTGTAGTCTAAAAGTCAGGCAAAGATGAGTAAAAAAAAAAAAATTGCCAGGATCAGAGAATATTCATCTTCCTTCTAATGTAGATCTCCTATAATAGTTAAATGAACAAATGATTAAATGAATGGATTCCCCCGTTTGCGTCCCCAAAGCAGTTCTGAGGCATTCATGGCCCAGAGGGGAGATCAACTTGGCTGCCCCAATTGGCATTGCCTAATTTTCCCTTCTTTACTCCAGCCTTCCAGCCAAGATGGCTCATCTGTCCTTCCTCATCTGTCCTTCCATCGCCAGGTGCTATTGAGTGACTGATGGACGAAGGCTATTCCCTGGTGCAGGGGCCACGGGTAATTCAGCTCCTTAGACTTGTCACACGTCTGCAGTGGACTCTTCCCCTCTACTCTGGCATGCCTGGCGGTGCCCCTTGGGAGGGCCGCAGTGTCCAGACACGTGACAGACATAGAGCCGTGGTTTCAGACCACAGGCCTGTGGCAGACAGACGCACTTAAAAGGCGAGCTGGGTGTTCACGTATATCTACTCCCTTTATGCATATGGTGCCCTGAGTTGAAGAGGGAAGTGGTCTGTGTTTCCTTAAACTGCAAATCGTTCTGCTTTCATTTTGTGTTAGGACACTGTGTGTGTCGGGAGCTGTTAACATATTCCCAATACGGAGAGCAATTCACAAGAGCTTGTGAAAATGCATTAGCAGCTTTTCCAGCGAGCTTATTATAATGTTAAACAGCACACTTTGACAATCCTGAAAATTGGCCCCTGTGTACGAAAAGCTCAACATTCCCAAAGCTAGCTCAGGGATAGAAAAGTGCTGGTGGCTTAATCAGTTATAAATTAAAGAGAGGAGGTGTGCTTTGAGGGTGTTCTTCCCCCCTAACTTGAATAGCTAAGTGGTAGCTAATAAAGTAAAGTGACAAGGAATGCTGTGTTCTGCCCCTAGGACTTTTTCCAACAATGAATGTCACACCTGGGCACTTAATTTAATTGTGTGAAAATGCAAAGCAGGTAAGGAGAAAGAACTCCTGTATTCAGAATTTCCCACCTTTTTTTCTGCTAGCTTATGATGAGTACCTCAAGGGCAACTATTGAGTACGCAGACTGATGGAGGGCATGAGACAAGTTCTGTCCCTGCAAGATCTGTCTGTCCCGGCTCAGACGTTCTTTCTGTCCTCTCCACTCTCCTCCAAGTCGAGCTCCTTGCGCATAAGGAGTGCAAACTCTTTCATTGTGTTGGGGCTCCCACCAACGCAAACTGTTAATAAAAATAAATAATTACCTGCCTTATAACTGATGTAGGAAACAAGGGTCAGCTTTCAACTTTAATATTTTTATTTTATTTTTTCAGTAATTTACATGAGAGTACGTATAGACATACTGGGTTACATTTATGATTAGCTAATTTGCATCATTAACCTGTAAATAAGGCAACCAGACGAAAACTTTGATGGTACTTAATTAGTAAAGGAAAAAGATAATCACAAAATCAAAGTAAGTGTTGATTTTGTTCAAGGAGGTGTTTCCTGGTGTTTTTGTTTACAGTGAACATCATCCCGCATCTTGAGTTGATACAGACAGCTTGTTTCAGGGTATTAGCAGGCTATATGGAATATAAGTAACATGAGAAAAAAAAAAAGAACTGTGACTTTTAGATATGTCTTCCCATTCCATATTCCCAAACATTAGTTTTTATCGTAAAATGTGCTATGTTAACTTAAAGCTTTAAACAATCACATCAAGCCTTTCCAGCTTCTCAGTCAGAAGAAATCCTCGTGTAATAAGCCTTATCATTCATTGTAGACTGGAAATGTCACTATGCTATTTCACCAATTCCAATGACTTGTTTTTGTTTTGTTCACATTTTAACATCTCTGAAATGATAACAAATGTTGCAGTCAAGGGGGTCCACTCAAAGAAAATGTGGTAACACTATTGTGTTATAGTGACTTGTACAATGGCCCATTAGGGGTGCACCAGCCTTGGGTGAGTGAGGTGGAGGTCTAAGGCAGGATGGGAGCAGCCTAACAGCAAGGGTGAGCAGTGGCCTGGTGATCACTGGGGGTCAGCAGCGGAGTAGATGAGCAACAGCAGATGTCCTAGACCCAAGGAAGCACAGACCGTAGAAGGGCTCCAGGAGCAAAGCCATTCAGAAATCTAAGCTAAGCCGAAGCGTCCCCAGAAGCTGAAGAAGGTCCATGTCAGAGAGATAGGTAACAAATGTAGTGTTTAAGCGCCTGCCCTTTGAGATTAGATAAACCTGGCTTTGCACCCCAACCCTGTCAGTGATTAAGTGACTTGCCTAGTGTTACACACATAATCTCTATGTGCTTCAGATCATCGTCTCCAAAATAGAAAAATGCAGAGCACGTCGGGGGGGGGGGGGGTTGGTAGAGACAAAACGGGATAGACTATGGCAGAGGACATTGCACAAAGCCAGGTAACTTCTGAGTGTTCAACAAATGGCAGCTGTTTCCTCTTTTTCACATCATGTAGCAATTTTCTGGCCTTGCTTTTTTTTTTTTTTTTTTTTTAAACGTTTATTTATTTTTGGGACAGAGAGAGACAGAGCACGAACGGGAGAGGGTCAGAGAGAAAGGGAGACTCAGAATCGGAAACAGGCTCCAGGCTCTGAGCCATCAGCCCAGAGCCTGACGCGGGGCTCGAACTCACGGACCGCGAGATCGTGACCTGGCTGAAGTCGGACGCCTAACCGACTGCGCCACCCAGGCGCCCCTGGCCTTGCTTTTAAGCTTGCTTATTGTTTCTGTATTTGCAGAACTTAGTACAAATGAAGCTGGTTCAAATCCCGTAAGGAAAAGGCAGTTGGTGGTGCCTAACCCATGTGGGCAGCATTAGGCACAGGATCAGAAGGATTGTTGGAGAGGTTCTTCCTAGCAATGAAGACTATCTGTCCAGCCTTCAAGGAAATACCTAACAGAGGTTATAGTGTAGGCGTCCCCACTCACAGATGACTTACTGGGACTATTGGGTGGTCTGATTACATGATGCATTATGTTTCCATTTAACAATAATTCCTGTGCCAGACTAATTTTTCAGTTTTGGGATGTAATTATCCTTTTATCCAGGCCCTCTGCTTCTCTTTTACTATCATTATTGTCTTTTCTGTGCCCTTTCATGGGTTTCTCCAATGGGCCTGTGGTTGGTAATGAACTGCAATGAAAGTTAGCCATAAAGGCTAGTTAGCAAAGAGGGAAGGCTGTGGTCTAAGGTGAGTTCTTAAATTATTATTGATAATTCGTGAGATTTTTTTTCCCTCTGTTGGTATGGATAGTTGAGACTTGGCTCAACATGTAAGTACAAAGAGGCCATTTTTGTTGTTTTCTTTTTACAAAATACAGTAGTTTGAAAATAACCTCATTGTGTGGTGTCAGTGAACGTAAATTACAACTATTCAGATTGACCATAAAACCAAAACAGATGTTAGAATAGCTTGTGGTTTCAATTCTTCTTTGAACTGTAGATATTGCTGTAATCAACAGGAATTTCTGAATGTTTCTGGAGACACAAAGATATATGTGTAGACTGAAACATTTTCATTCTTGAAGACTTACTCCTAACTGAGACTTACAAAATATCACCTCTAGACACAATTTTTGGTCTGGCTGCTTTAATGAGAAGTCAAATATGGCTGAAGACCACCAACCAACATTGACCTTAAGTGACATTTTCTGTGATTTAGGCCCCAAACAAAATTATCATTTTTCCTGGTTTTATCAAAGAAGATAGAAATGCATTGGAAAGGAGTCTGAAGAATTATAAAAATATGTTATGGACTTTGCCTAATGACTGCCAGAATGAATTCACTTTCAAATATACCCAGTGTCTTAAAAGACTTAACTTTGCCATGTTGTCCATGTTATATTAATCTGGTCCTATTTCTAGTCAGTTTGATAAAGACTGATTAGCTGTTCACCAAAGCTGTTTCCCTTCTTTCCAGACACACAGTTCAACTTCCTAGCCTCCTTTCCAGTTAGCTGAGGCCATATGCCTGGATTCCAGCAACTAGAATGTGAACAAATTTTATGGATGCCACTTCTAGTCCCAACCCATAGAAATCTCTCATTGGTGCTCCAATAGATTGCCTTCTTCTGTCTCCTGGAAGGGTGTAGACACCCAGGGAAACTTCATAAGCTACTCTTTGAAGGTGAATGAACAACAAGATAGAAGGAACCTGGGTCCCTGAATCACCAGTTGGAGGAAAGTCACCATGAATATTCACTTTATACTCAATGTGAGTGAGAAAAAAAAAAAAACTTAGGTTGTGTTAAGCAACTGATATTTTTCAGCAGCAGCTAGCAAACCCTTTTAAAATCTAGCAAGCAAGGAAATGAAGGAAATAAGAATGGTTATCAGAATCTTTAAGATTTAAATTTTACACACCCAGAGTTCTCCTTTCCTTTGAAGATAATGCTATTAATAATCCTTATCATTTCTATAAAGACAAGGCTGAGTTTTAGGTACTGATGGATTTTATCCTCTCTTCTTAGCTAGAATTACTGCCCTGGGATTTAAGGGAGTCAAGAGATTGAACCTAGCATGTTCTCATTCAAAGATAAAAATGTGGCTGGAAGAAGGCAAGTTTCCAAGAAAATCATCTGTATATGCAGAACAGACTTTACCTACTGCGTCTCGAGAATCCTGCTATAGGTTAAACAGCCAATTCTGATAATTTGGAATTACACTACCTGCTCCCCAGTCTACACACACACACACACACACACACACACACACACACACACTTTTGCCTCCTATCCATCAAAATGGTCCAATAATAAGAGTTAACTCTCTGGTGGAAACAACAGGTTCTAATCAGAACATGTTTTTATTTTTGTTTTTGTTTTTGTTTTATCCAAAAGAGAATCTACTGAAGATGTCCATAACCAAGTGGATGGTGAGTTTATAAGTTTGGATAGTGGCTATGACAGAGTGTAAGAATAAGTGTGAATGAAAATCTATTCAGGTAAAAAGGTAAAGGCCTGATTCCTGGGATTGTAACAAAGATGAGACAACTGTGTGTGTGTGTGTGTGTGTGTGTGTGTGTGTGTGTGTGTGAAAGAGAGAGTGAGAGAGAGAGATATGTGTGAGTCCTGTAATTTTCATGTCTAAGACAAAGCTTTCCATCCCAGTGGTTTCCCAGAAACTAACAGTTAGAATAAAAGTGTAGTACTTTTTTCTTTCAAATAGAGAAAGAGCCATTACTTTTTCCATCAGAGAAACTTAAGGTTTAATCCCAGCTTTTTTACTTACCAGTTGCATTATGACTGTTACAAATGCTCTCAGAGAGCTGGAAGGGGAGGAAGCAACTTAGCACCTACAATTAATGAATATCACAAATGTCCTTCCTTCCTTCCTTCCTCCTCCTCCATCTTCTTTTCTTCTTTTTCTTTCTCTAGCTAACTTCTTCTTCTTCTTCCTCCCTTTCTCAATGCCCCTCCCAGGTAATGGACTATTCTCAGTTACTATGACTCACAGAGCACACCTAGTGCAGTGGTCAAGGAGACCAGGAATGGGACTTGGAGGAACTTGGTCCAAGTCCTTGCTCTACCACTATGTGGTGTACCTTATTTAACTCCTTTGGACTTCCAGAACTCAATTGCCTTGTTTTACGGAGGAAATTAGTATCTGCTAACCCCACCTAAAAGAGCTAATGTGAAGATTTAGAAAGATGATGAATGTAAGAGCTTTTACTTTTGCTCCTGTAGTTGCTAAGAAAATAAAGGTCAGATAAAAACTGCTCAATTCTTGCAGATGGTTCTCACAGAATTCTCTCATGTGTGAACACAATGTAATCTATAGCTTTATCCAATCACTATGTTGTACATTTAAAACCAATGTAACAATGTGTGTCACTTAGACTTCAATAAACAAAAAATAAATAAAAACAATAAGAGGAAAGAAAAAAAGAAAACTGTACAACTCTCCACTGGTAGGATTATGAATAGGGGTGAACTTTTTAGAAAACAAAAGTTCTTTAAAAAATTTAAAAATTTTATTCCCTTGACCATTTCTGTGAATCATCCCAAGCAAATGTGAAAAATCTTTAGGTACAAAAATGTCCATTTGAGTGCTGTTTATAATAGAAAATACTTCCATATAAAAGTCATCAATAGACTATAGAATGTAGGGCACAACCACTTGATATCCGTATGCAATGTGTTTCAAAGAAAATGTCATAATATGGGGAAATGCTAATGACATAAAATTAAGTAAAAAAATGCAGAATGCAGAAAGAAA